ACTTTTTGTTGCCCACCCTCAATACACCATCGGTGATTTCCTTTAGGGGTAAATATTACTCTGCTTACGGAAAGAGAATTGATGGTTGGTTTGTCCTCCAACTTAAAAAAACGGTCAGATGTAGTTACGTGGCCCCACCCGAAGTAAACGAACCCCAGCCACCTGCAATACGGGACCGGTGGTAATAGGGGTTTTTACAGATGGAGCGAGGGGAGGCACAGGCGACGAGGCCGAGTAGTTGTATGCAAAAAAAGCTATCGGGAGTGCGTTGTAGTACTTTCAATGGTTGAGAAATGGTTGCCCTAACCCCTAGCCGTAACCCCTAACAGTATTGTGTCCATCAGGTGCGACTACATAACCACACCTTACCAAAAAAACATTCGGCAGGTTCATGTCAGCGTTTTGTTGTTTACTTTTACTTTTCAAGCTACACAGGAAGACCGAATTTCTCTTCACAGAACCTTGGTCACGTTAAACTGTCGTAAGCTTATGACATCTGGGAGCCGGATCAGAAAGACAGTTTCGATGAGATTGAGGGGCGGACTTTGGGCTTATTAGGCGACCTGACCCAGCCAAATTGTCGGTTTCGGATCTACCCATCGATCTGCTAGATTGTATCGAGCTATAAAAGTAAGCAGATTGCAACCAAGCCGACTAAGTGGAGGGCGACAGATTCAATATCGGGCCAGATGATGCTTGAGGCGATGGTAGAAACCCGTTTGCTGCCTCGAGCACTAAGACGCGAGGTGCAAATTATGCAGTTGTTCTCCTGGTCTGGTTTAACCACTCCAGGAGCTGGCAACGATTATCAGACCAGGTCAAGAGGGATTTTAAAGTAATACCTGCGTCTACGAGTAGGGGGAATCTTTGCCTCGAACATGAGCAACTAATTTTGACCGACAATATCCTTGCGGCTGAATGCAAGCCAGCCTGACTCCTACACAAGCAGCACTTGATTGGAGGAATTTGTTTCAAGAATATGGAGTTCCCGAGGACCACAGTCTAGGATCCTGGCTTCAAGTACGCAGTGCATGTCTACTTTGCATTGGAAAAAGCTGCTCATCGCCAGACTTTCAGCATCCAGGTCAAGGAACACTTGAAGAATCCGGCCTCCTAAATTAAGGGCTCGTATCCAGCCCGCAGCCTAACATGTTCATACATGTTTGTATTACTAGATTAGAACTTCAGAGTATGTCTGTCTCCGTGGATAGCGTGGCAAAAATTGCGAAGCCCAATTTTAACAAATGCATTAGATGATTTTGGAGCATTGGCGTTATTGTAGGGAGGATGTTCAGCGATCAAGTTACACGACGTACTCGTCACATTACGCCCTGAAGCCCACTATAGAGTCCTCGCAAGCGTACCCATAGCGAAAAGTAAAGTTTGGGAGGGAAGAGTATCGACAAAGACAAGGGGGACCTGGCTTATTAGTCCTCGTCAGTCAGCCGTACCCAGACGCAGGTCAGAATGATCTTGGGCTCAAACCCAACTTCTTTGGACATTGGGCATTGAGTAGTTTAACGCTCAACCATTGCGCCACGGACTCGTCGTCCTGTCAGTTGTGATCGGAAATATTTGTTTTCGTAGGAAAGTCGTTCTTCGATCAGGTTAAGGGACGTCCTCGTCCTGCTTTGGCACAACTAAGCGGTGTTTTGCGACACCTTCTTCCTTAGAGCTTTGACTTTTTTGGGACCTAACAGAAGTAAAAAGGCGATAACAGAATTGATTAGATGGGAGTTGAGAGTCCCAATGCCACAGTGCCGTAGTCAGACACTGCGATATTTTACGAAACAGTCGATATACGGGACTCCAGACGTCCAGACACGGATAAAGTTGCCTCCAGTGGCCAGTGGCCGCTTATTTGGTTAAAAGTCTGCCTGTCTGATAGTTCGAGTTCGTTGCAGGCCAGTCCGCCATTCACGTTCGTGAACGCACCTGGTTGCCATGACTTGACAGGTTCGGATGGCAGTTGACCTCTTTCACACGAAACCTTCGTCCCCATAAACGGAGGGAACGTATTGCTAAAATGACCCTTTCTATTTATTCAGCGACCCATGAGAGAGAGAGAGAGAGAGAGAGAGAGAGAGAGAGAGAGTATGTTCAAAATAAAATCACAGAAACTGAGTGGTTTGGAGCAATATGTAAGTTTATGCCCCTCGTGGACGACTGGATTATCAGTCAAGTTGATTTTGGACAACATGCAACCAAGCCTTCATTTTTGAGGCTCTTTTTCATCCCACCGCCGCCATATCTCTTCTGAGCATTTAAACACCCTGGTCATCCATAACAGTGCTAGGGAATGATGCCTTCAGTTTGGGGTTAGTTACCCAAAACCGCCTACTTACATAAAATTAGTAGGCATATATGCGTATCTCAAAGTTAAATGGCTACTGTTCCACTAACACGATTGCGCAGGTAACTACTTGCCGGCGCAAGCTGTGGAATGAAGATACATAATACAGTTTAACGTGGACCTCAGGAGACGTTCAAGTGGTTCAAGGAGATTCAGGCAAAAACAGAGCTGCGGTTAGTAGGCCGGTAGTTAGTAAGGGCATAGAGTATCAGGCGAACCCGCACTCGGACATATCATTTGCTGTTGCTTTTTAATTTCCTCAGAAATTAACTGCGAACTTGGAGTAGATCAGTTTATACCACGGTCTATAGGCGTAGACCGAAATTTGATGTATGAATATTTGGGCAGAAATCAATTAACCACTGCGGTATAACCATGTAATATTCATTAACTGCCAACAGGCAGCTAGTAGTATATTTTTTTAGCGTTAGAAGATACCACACTAGCAGTACAGGTACTAGCTACTACCTGTGCTACTGGCATGATATTTTCTAACCCTAAAAAATACCACTTATTGCGAGAATGCCAACCTGCAATGTCGAGATTTCGATTCGAAAATGCATTAAATCACTTGCTTACTAGGCCTATTCAGAAATTCGTGTTCAGGCAATGAATAAGTTGCTCAGGCGTCTGACAGTCAGAACCGGCCATCGTGTACTGCGAGCCGGGAAAGGAGACTCGTCTGGCTACAGCCTATCAGACTTGCTGCACTAAAAATGAATTGGTCGGTAATCCTTGAAGCCACTTTTTTAGTTTACACACGAGTGTGGAAAATTGGTTTTTTTGCTAGGTATCTGCTTGCCGACTGTCTGAGCCCTGAAGGTGATATCAGCTTAACCCAGTTCGGGTCTCATTGCTGTCAGGCCTAATGAACAGACGAAGATTGGCCGTGCACTGCGCAGGTACCACCAGAGAATTTCTTTACTGAGTGACTTTGTAGTTCTGAAGAGAATCTCGTTATTTCGACAGCTAACTACATGGCCATGAAAACTGGCGACGTTAAGCGGTCCTAACCAATAAACTTTATATCCAAGTGTTTCTGAACGTTTAAAATTGCCCTATAAGACCTTCATCAACGCAGGAAAAACAGGTAATGTAAAATGACTTGTACATCATTCTTTTAATTCCCGTTAATGCGTGAAAAGCGTTTCCTCTGCGATTATTCGGTGTGCCCCAATATAAAATCAACAAAGCTATTTCCTTTAATTGCGTAACACCCGTTAAGTATATACTAACGTTGTTCAAAAAAACAAATCTCAGGTGTGGTTTTAAATCTAGAGAAGTCTACTGTTTTTAAATGTAATTATCATGACCAAAACAGGGCCAAATTACAGCTTTTTAAACTAAAGTAGTTTACTGAAGTAGTGTACACCCAATGTACTTGCATCTGCAAGTGCGTGTGAATTCATAAACATAAAGTAGCGTGTATTGGCAAGACATTATTCGCCCGTGGAATTGGAAGAGGTTCAGCAGGACTGCATGCTATGAGTTCGGCCGCAATGTATATCCTTTCAGTGGTGCAACGCAGCCGTCGTTTGATAATATTTAAAATATTGTCCCAATTAAAGGGCAAAGATATAAAACGGACTTTTTCGGAACTGAATGTTCCGCCAGTTTTGGCAATATAGAGTTGCCATAATTGCGGATGAAATGTACAGGATATCCGTGCGAACGCAAAGACACCTGGCAGCCAGGTCTATAGAGCCCCTGCCCAGATGGCTTCTTAAGCAAGAAAACGAAATCCCGCGTTCCTCTATTACATAACACTTGCTTGATAGCGGTCATTCCGTCAACTCTAAAACACCCTTCCGAGTACTTGTTCGGGTACAAACAACTCGGACATTCCGTCACCTAGAGGCGGTCTACATACGGGGATGAAACAAGACCTTTGCAAACGGCTAAAACATGTGGTTAGCCTAACTTTGCCATGGTATCCCCTAGCTCCATGATTTCCACATTCCCTTTTATTTTTGCTCGTTAATGATTTTCTCACTATTCTTCCCACATAGTCTTTAAGTTACTAATTATGATTGATTATCTGGCATCGCCCAAAACAATAACCTTGCTGTTTCTACATCGATTTTCTGTACGAACTTCACTTGCACGAGACACCTTGACATGGTGTGCAGTGATTCCTCCTTGATCGAGGGGATTGCGTGACGAGACCCTCCGCGAAATGTGAAAGTCCGCGAAGGAAAAACCACATGTTTGTGGTTAATTTTATATATTTTAAGTCCTTACAGGCCCTTGCACATTCCTACAAACGTTTCTTATAAAGTTATACAACATACACCCCTCATATTCTCCTAGATACTGGGCACGATTCGTTGACGTTATGTATACAGACACGCCGTTTAATTGCCAATAGAAGCG